ATTTAAAATCTCAAGAAAATCTAGTTATTAATCATAATAGAAACATTTAACAACATTAACATATTCTGTTAGGCATAGAAATATTGCTGAACAATAAAATGAAGTTAAAAATCCAGTTGTACGCAATTATAAAAGATAGACAATACTAGGTATACCTCACAGGGTTTCCAACAGTGATATGATAACAGAAATGGAAAATTCTTGCATACAGTTGATTTATTTGATTGCTGGATCTAAGGGCATTTGGTACTTTATAATCCACAGCACCACCTGTGGCAGAGTAGTGAGTGATAGACTAGCTTCACATGTTAATCTATACTTGTGCTAATTCCTTACATTGTGATCACAGTCAAAAGAGTTGGTTAGTGGTGGTGAACACTGACAGTTCACCATTAAAATAAAATCCAACAAATTCCCAGGTATTTATATTGTTGACCTTGCTTTTATCTCCTCAAGCCATGTACCATTTCCCAGTCCAGAATGTTTAGAGTATCTCTCGTGATTGTCGTTTTCTTAGTGAGCAAGTGCCTTGCTTTCATTTCCCACTTCTCTACAGATGAAGAATTCACTTTAGATGGGGAAACGAATGGGTTCTCAGCTACATCCAATAATCTCTTTATACAGTGCATTATGTGATTAATCACATTGTACTGCATTAGTGCAACATTCATGGTTCAATGTTCATGGATTACATACAAAGTCTCTGGAAACATACAGATACTTTCTCAACAATTCAATCTAAGGCATTATTCCACACCTTTGGAGCAGGTAGGGCACTACCACTATGCCACAAGTGCCGTCTTCTGGAAATATATAACAATAGGTAATCCACGTACACAACCAAGTGATTCTGATACCATGTTAAGATGGATGTAGATGGTCTCTGATTCGGTCAGTGTAGTTTGCTGTTCTTTGTGTATAATATATGCATTGCTAAAAAAAAAATTAAAATCCTGCTTACATGAATGGATAGAATTTTCATGCTGTTTAACAGTAATTGTGAGATATATATATAGGCTTCTAGTCACAGGAGGCATCTTGATGTGATCAAGTGTAGGTTAATAATTATGACCTGGCTAAAAACACTGACCAGGCTATTTACGACATTGTAATTTAAAATTTAAAGAAAAATTATTACCACAGCTTTATGCAGAATAGAGCAGCAGTTCTTCTTTTCAGCAAAGGTGGGTCTGAAATCTAAGCAACTTAGATCTCTAAATTTATGTATAGTTTAAGATATGATCTTTGTAAAATAAGCTCCGTATCTATTTATTAGAAGGTTATGTTGAACAGTGCAATATACTTCTAACTGTATTTTATCTTGTCCAGAATATACTATTTTGGGGGAAATTTCTTGTAACCAAAGCTTTTTTTGTTGGCTATATTTGCAAAAGAAGTTGAATTTTTCATTTTAATAGCACTTCCATTGAATACTCTTTCATTTATTTGTCTTACACTGCACTGTGAAGGGGTTTCATTCCCAACTATTGGGGTGTGTGAAATAAGCGATGCATTCTTAACATGTTGGGGCTGGTGTATTAAAATCAAAATGATTTTCCCATTAATTCCAGTTGCATTCCTTCTAATGACTGATTCACCAGTCTAGTTGCTATGTACATAATATGTTTATCCTATGTTTCCTCTCGGGCATCACTGCAAATAAGTAAACAGTCTATGGTAGAAAACGTTCCCTGATATTATGGGAAGAATTTGCTTATTTCACTAACGAGTTCAATTCGGAACATTTGGTTGTGTTTTACTACGTGCTAAAAGCAGATAAATCATGACTCAGATATCAAATGTAACATTTTGTGCTTCTTATCCAACTGTACATCCTGGGTGTAGTCCTAGACTCATCAGTTGTTTGTTTTCTCCTAGAGTAATTGTGAATGTACATCACATTTTATTCTGTGACAAAGACCCAGTGATACATTTTCTGAATGCAGTGTTACTGGATAAAGTCTGATGTTACTTACCAGAAGCCAATGTATGTAATTTGTTTTGTACCAACTCTACTCAAGTATAATATTTATTTAATTAAGCATTTCATTTTTCCTCTCTGATTTATGTAAAAATCAGCATTTAAACACCAACATGAAAGTGTTGAAGCTCAGCTAGCAGTTCTCCTGATTCTTCATGGCACAAATTTCAATGCATTCACATGCACAAAAACTGGTTTTAATTCCCAAGTGACTGCAACTTGCCTTGCTGCAGGTTTAATGGTGATGGGTCATGGGACATACAGGAAACTCCCTCCTCCCTGAAGATAGATTGGTAATTTTAAGTATTGTATACTTTAGGTATTTTAAGAATTGTAAGTATTAAAACCTCAACTTTAACTGGTGGAACAATGCTGCCAAACCCAGGAATAAAGGTTACAATGCACCATGAACTCAGTAATGTAGATTCTGGTACCTGTTACCCTGTTGTTTCCTGGTAGTAGTTGCATTGGGGGTGGATAGTTCAAAATTTTGGATCAGACTTTGCCATGCATTTGAGGGGGGGTGCGCAGTAATTGAATTAGGCAGTGACACTTTATACAAAGACATTTATTGAAAAAGATCTCTCACATTTGGAGATAGTAATTGCATATTGTTGTATATCCTAAAAGAGGGGAATGAATGAAGAAAGAATGGGAGTAGAAAATGGTAAAGGAAGAAATAGCATCAAAAAAAATGATTTTTATGTTTCTTTTGATTTGTGGCTATAATCTGAGAAGGAAAATATTTAATTATTGGCAAAGAAATATTTTGGTCCAAGAAAAATTAAATCAATCTGCCACTTGATGCATTTAGATTACTAATACAGCTTTAAAATAACAATATTCAAAGAGGTTTACAAAAGGAAAAGCACACTTCACATTACTTCAATCTAAGACAGCAATGTCAACTATTAATTGAGAAGATAGGTGGTGCTTAATAATAAATGGAAAATAGGACAGGAGCTGGGTCTGAATGCCCAGAGAGAAAAAGCTTCATAGCTTAAAGTCACTGGATCATTGGAAACAGATGTGCAACTGAATTTGCATCTTAAGACTATGCGAAATTCTTGACACGCAAACCTATTTGTGAGTTGTCCAGAAACTACCAAATTCTGAGAGGAAAGTCCCCTGCTTTCTGGTGGTCTTCAAAGTTAGGAACTGTTCTGCATTATATAACCAGATACTAATTGAGAAATGTTATACAAATTAAAACACAGTCTAACACCTGTGATAATACAACTGACAACCCTATACCCTGGTCCGAACCCTAACTACCTTCTGATTTGACCTGATCAGCCCAGCCACCCATGTTTCCCCTGACCCAACTACATTCTCCAGCCAAACTAACAAACTCGACTATCCGCTTACTCTCCCACTCCTTATTAACTATATCCCAGCAATTTACATATCTCACCCACGTAATTCATAACCCACCATATCCCTTTCCCATCTCTCTCTCCAAAACAATCTCATCAATCTACTCATTGATGTGTGCGTCTACTCATGCATTCAATAACAATAAAAGACTGATCCTTAAACTTATCACTTGGCAGCCAGTGCCATTAAAAAAAAAAGTTATCTTTTAAACTGGGATAGTAGGAACTGCAGATGCTGGAGAATCTGAGATAACAAGGTGTAGAGGTGGATGAACACAGCAGGCCAAGCAGCAGAGGAGCAGGAAGGCTGACGTTTCGGGCCTAGACCCTTCTTCAGAAATGGGGGAGGAGAAGGAGATTCTGAAATCAGAACGTCAGCTTTCCTGCTCTTCTGATGCTGCATGGCCTGCTGTGTTCATCCAGCTCTACACCTCGTTATCTCTTATCTTTTAAACTGATCTTCTTTATAGGTCTCAGCATGGGTCCTTGTGCTGAGAGAGATCTTCTGTATGTTGTATCAGAAGTTAACATCTTTTTAGAAGTATCCAGGTAACCACATTGGTTTCTGACTGATCAGCATGGATTGCAGTAGTTCCAATGCTGATCAGAAAATTTGGATTGATATTTTACATTCTTTAGATTCCACAAGAGTTGTTTTCCATTAAACAGATCATTTAGATTAGGGCTAAGTGGCAAGATGGGGTTGGGGGGGGGGGGGGGGGGGGGGGGGGGAGGTGTTTTTTTTTTTCCCCCCCCGTGTTTTTTTTGGAGAAAATCAACTTTTCAGAAAAAAATTTGTGTTTTTTTTTTTCGTTCTTTGTAAAGGC